ATAATTTTTCATCTCAGACTAATGAGTACATGAATACCACGGCGCGGTGTCTTCAAATGATGTTACGCATCGATCCTTACAGGTTTGTATGTATTATATATGTCTGATTGTTTATTCTAGGTATAGTTCTTTGTTCTTATCTCTACATCTTAATGATTTGGTGGTTATTTCTTAATTAAGTGCTTAGTGACTTTTCAACGTTGCTTGTGACAGTAGCGTTTTGTTGTAAAATATTGCACATCATATGTTTTTACATCACATTTAACAGCTGTATTTCTATCTTTATGTTTTTTTTTTCTTTTTTTTTGATTTGCTCAGTTGTTTGAAATTGAATCCTTACTTTATTGCTGTTTTGAGTGGATTGTTTATTAAAAATTGAAAGTGAAGTGGATGTTACCATAATGTTATGTATCTTTTTATCGGATGGTCGATTTCAGGCTTGCCTTCATGGAAGCTGAAGGAATTCAATCTATTGTTGCTGCGCTTAATGGGAAAACTAACTTTCAACTCCAGTACCAATTAGCTTTTGCGCTTTGGTGCCTTACCTTCAATCCTGATATTGCTCGTCGCACACCTTCACTTGGAGTGATTCAAGCTCTTGGAGACATACTTTCTGAGTCATCGAAAGAAAAGGCAAACGAACAGCTGTTTTTTTTTTTTGGATGTTGTACTCTATTTCGTTTCTTCACCATTGTACATTGCGAACCGATGAAAAATTCTTATTCGCCTTAGGTAATCCGCATCATCATAGCAACGTTCAGCAACATACTTAAAAAAGTCGAAGAAAGAGAAATCAAGAAGGAGGCAGCTCTACAAATGGTGCAGTGCAAAACACTAAAAACACTCGAGCTTACAGACGCCAAGAAATATGGGGACACTGAACTTGAGGTACGCCTTAGATGCTGCGAGAAAAGGCAGCAATATGTTATTTGCTGATAATTTCCTTCTCTCATAGTTCTTCGAATTGCCCCTCTATTAACGGAGGTAGCAGAAGTTAAAGTTAGCATACATTAAGTTTTTTCGAACTCAATCGCCAGGATGTATTCGCAGTATTTTGCATCTTAAACAGTAGTAGATTTTACGTCCTTTTCAATTTTTCTTTCAATATTGTGTTCTCCTTTTCTTTCTAATAGTAACGAAGCTCATCTTAAACTTGCTAAAGCTCACATAAAGCTGTTGTTCACCTTAATGCTTGATGTATTTTTTCGAATTCAGCACTTCATTCCAAAGTCACTTTTCTCAAGCTTCTTTTAGGAAGACGTTGAATACCTTAGTTCTCAACTCCAATCCTCAGTTCAAGATCTAAGCTCTTTTGACGAGTACTGCAGTGAGGTTAGTTGTGACTTTTGTTCTTGCTTTGACTCAAGAATAATAGTGTGCTCTTTGTAGTATCTGTCGCTTTGCTCTATCTATATTATCTCTTTCTAATTGATAGGTTCGCTCTGGTCGTTTACAATGGTCACCTGTGCATAAATCGGACAAATTTTGGCGAGAAAACGCACCTCGATTCAATGAGAAGAACTTCGAACTCATTAAGTAACCTTATCTCTACATAGGCGTTGCTTTTTCAATTTTTATGCGGTTTAGAATCCTGATACGACTCTTAGAAACAAGCCAAGATCCACTGATTCTCTGCGTAGCTGCTCATGATGTTGGGGAGTACGTCCGCCATTATCCCAGGGGTAAAACGTATGTTTGCTTGTATTACGCTTCTCATTCTTCTTTTGCTCTTTGGTATTCCATATTGCACGTAAATTTGAAAAAGTTTCAGTGTGATTGAACAGTATCAAGGTAAGCAAGCTGTGATGCGACTGTTGTCTGCAGAAGACCCCAATGTTCGCTACCACGCTTTGCTTGCTGTTCAAAAGCTTATGGTGCACAATTGGGAATACCTAGGAAAACAACTTGATGTGGAAGCTGCGGAAACGGTTGCAGTCAAGTAAATCTCTACTATAAAATTTATTATTATCAGATTTTCTTGAGTATCAAGACATTCGTAGTCAGCAGTCTTTTTTTCAATTTGTTATGTACTATATCTTTGAAACGACGACAATGTTAAAAGTAATCTCCTCGTGATAGCCCTCTATTCCATGTATAGATTGCTTCATATACATATTTCTAACAGCGATATGTGAAGCTACCTTTCGAATTTCCAAAGATTAGATACTGTCGAACTTACGTACTTTGAATCCCCCTAATAAAGAAGAAATTTGGAAAAGTGTTCTCTTATTAGTGGAATCATTGAGGTTTAAGTCAGAAAGGAATTCATAATTGCTGCTGCTCATTTTATCAAGGACGCAATATATCTTGTGAGAATTTACATCTCTTTTTCTTGTAAGAATCATATGCGATTATGATATGCAGTTCATTAATGATCAAGGAGTTGAACTTGAAGAACTTAAAAGGATCTATAGAACTAACCTATGAAAATGGTTGAAAAGATAAAAGGAGAGCGAGGCCATGAGAAGGACTTAATATCCGTAAGGCCGCATCCATAGCTGACGATTGGTAGGCTCCATTCCATAGCTGACAATGGGAGGTATGGCGGGCGCTGGCGATCGCTGACCTCTTGGCTTTCTCTGGCGTCAAGAGGCGTCAAAATGGGTACATTTTGGGTACAGTTTGATCGAAAATCTACACACTAAAGTGTTGAGTACATTTTGGAAGGAAGTTTGTTAGGAACACATTGATCCGAACTCACACCTAAAATATCACGAAATTGTCTATAGCTCTGAAACTACAAACAAAGCCAGTGAAAAGTGATAAGTTGACGTTGAATTAACAAGTGTATTGTAAGTTTGACCCAATGGTTAGTAGCAATGTTTACATCTTGGAGGCTTGCTTCAGGTAATTACAGTTAATTAAGGGGTATGTATAAGTTCAACTGTATTAAAGGGATACCATTCATATTCTGTATTCTTTTGTTTCATCATATATTCTCCTATTTCAACAAATTATAAATATTCATTCATGACTGGTGGATTTCCACAATTGTCAAACCTATTTTAATTACCACAATTTCCCGACTGATGGCAAACTGAATTTCCTCTATATTTCTCAGTTTATCTATTAACCGAAACAAAATCTGCCAAAGATTGTATAAGCGCATCAAAATCGCCGCTTGACGCCGTGAGAAGTCCATCCAGAAAGACTTCCAGCGGCGTCGATTTTC